AGGGGCCCGTTTAAACTGGTACCGTCGTCATGTTCAGTGGAGCCAAAACGACTGATCCCGAGTATTGTTTACTGAGAAGTCCACACGTAGTATAAACAGTGATTCTAGACGTGTGTTGATCTGGAAAGAGAAAGGAACACACAACTTCCCTTCTCTTGTCCGTGAAATATACCGTTTCCGCGGTTTAATGCGTACGACCAATGGCCGCATCGGAATCTTTCAAGGAGGTTCTGTAACCGTTCGTAGATATGTTGACGAGCTACTGGAACCCCAAGTTAGACTGTTTAGGAGTGCTTTTGGCCCAGAAGTTTTGCTAATGGATGAAAATTACACATGGGGAAAACCACAAAACACCCATGCAGCCAGCCTGTTTGCCTTTAATATAAGGTTAGGTACTTTTAATATAAAAAGATTTTACTAAACTAACAGTCTCTATCTTTTTCTTTTAAATATTTTATTCCTAAATGGATACTGCTTTTTGGATTTTTTCATGTATTCATGAATAAATATTTTTATGCTTCAGTTTTGCATGCTTGGATACTGAGCTGCCATTTTTCAAAGTTAATTAACTAAACTATAATTTTTTATCTTTAGGTATCTGACACATAAAATTCTAGTAAATTAAAAAAAAAAAAAAAAAAACTCAACTTTTATAATTACAAGAAACGCATAGTGAACTTTACGAGAATCTGTGGTTATATCTAATCTAATATTATTATAGATTTGTTTAATGGCTAAAGTCATGAACAGGTTTAAGAAATAATTATGTCTATACTTCTCATAGTATATAAAAAAATAAAAATCTATTAATCAGACCTTAATATAGAAAATGCATAATTTTTGTAAACATACCAAAGGTTCTTCACTAGTTGTTAAACAAATAAAATCTGTTCAGAATTTTAATTCAAAATTCAGAAAGAAAATTAAATTTTGTGTGGTTTCTGCATATATGTGATTCATGCATATTAATGATTCTAACTAAAACTTAAGAAAAGCCTCCATTAAGAATAATAATGATGAACTTTATCTCTTACAAGAATCTCAAAGATAAATTTTACTATTTTATTACAAAAGTGTTACTTTATAACAGCTGCACATTTAAATAACCCCTATGTTCTCAACAATTTTAGTACAGAAATTATCTTTAAAGTAAGAACCCCGAAATTAATCTCTAAGAATTGGTAATTCAATCCAGGTTAGACTATTGGCGCACAATTTGTCTTCATAATTTTTCCTATGTGCACAGTGAATATGAATGTTACATAATCTTTCACGAAGGAAAGATTCCTCTTAAGCAGATAGCCTTTGTGTGCTTTGCCATAAATTGACTAAAAAATACAGCTTCATAAAATAAGTAATTAGGGAAATATGAATAAAATAGCCATCAGTAAATTTTTTAATGAAGTTTTTCTTAAAAAATAATTATATTTTCAATTTTAGGACAAGTACATTTCTGAAAATATTGAATGAACTGAATATTGTAATGAAGGTTCATTGTGTTCTCGATGAAATTAAATAATGCAGAATTTTTAATGTAATACTACTATATTGAATGCTTTAAACTCTTTAATTAAGTTAGCATAAAAATATTCAAATTAATTTGCATTTTTATTTGAAATTCCAACAAGCAAACTTAAAACTGTAGTTACTTAAACTGTTTTTTTAAGTATTTTAAAATTTTAAATGCATTTATTTGCAACAAATATTTTAATTGTAGTAATTAGCTTTATAAAATTGAATTTTGATTCTTGTTTTTAATGGAAAATCAAAATCCTTAAATAAGTATAGAAACAGACAGCTATGTATAAATATTTACAGCACTAGAGAAAAGTACTCAAAGAAACTCTGTTTCACATTAAATTTACTGGGAGTTAATAAACAATAACTAAACTTTGACAAAACAAATAAATTTCCATTAATTGATGTAATAAATAAACAGAATATCAGAATGAAATGAGTAACAATGCAAAATTTACGAAAATATGCATATCAATACATGCAAATTATAAAAATAATGGGTAAAAGTTTACAATTGGGTGCCCTTTGTTTTTTGGGGATTCTTTTTTGACGCCAAGATCGGTGCCAGGAAGGCACAATTTCAAGATGGCCACTACACAAAACCAAAATAAGAAGTCAAAAAATTGCACAAACTCTGTGTCCATGTACACATCAATCTGTTTTCACTTAAAAAAAACATCTTAGAATTGCACAAACTAGGCATTGCACACTGCCTTAAATTTGTCCATGTACACATCAATCTATTTTCATTTAAATAAATTCAGGAAGCTAAAACACAGTTAAAACTATCATGGTAACCAGAAGTGAGGTTTCATCGGCAAAATTTTTTAAAAAATTGTCGCTAATCCATAGCTAGGGTTTTCAGCGCCCAGGGACAACTGAAGATTTCGTGCCCCCTACTGCTTGCCAAGGATGGAAAACATTTAATTCTAACATGTCGTAACATCAGTTTGGAGCCCCTTGGATTCTGTGCCCGGGGATAGATGCCCCCTCTAGCTACGCCCCTGCACTAATCGAAGGGGCACCCAATTCTACACTAGAGCCAAATAATGAACAGTCAACGAGAAATATATACACTGCATGAATTAAAAAAGAGGGACAAGAAGAAGATGCATGAAATATGCTTTAGTTTCTTCCTTTATTTACCTTTAGTATTACAGCTTTTCAGTTATACAATGAATATTTAAACAATGTCTGGAAAGAATTAAAAAAGTCTAATTATCTGAGCCAAAACTGTTAGTATTGTGACAAGTAATATAAAATTATATAATCAAATTAATAAATCTGAATCAAGATAAGACAAATTATAATAAAAGAATATATAGAATTACAGGAAAATTAGTTTATTTGAAATATGAAAACAGCCTACAGTATAGCATCAGATTAAAACATTAGAAGGGTACCTTGGATTGTAAGAAGTTATTAATATAAATTAGAATATAGAGGAAAGGATGAAATGACAAGACTGGAATTTTAGAAAATTTGTTATTCAGTGACAGATTACATTCTTTTGATAAGATGGACAGAAAGCTATTTTGAAGTAAGATCTTATTTGTTCAAAATGTTTTCTAAATCTGGAACACTGCACCACTAGGTAAGGTTTGAGACTGTATATCCCAGAATGAAAATATTAATTAAAATGTAACTGAAATAATAATACAGTAATTTTATTATAATTCAATAAATGCACAAAATTGTGAGATAATTACTTCAAAGTACATCAAATTTAGAACTACAGTATACAAAAGTTTGGAATACAAAAGATCCCAAGTGTGAAAAATGTGAATGAAAAGAGTACCAGCTACACAAAATTCTTTGCTGAACCTAGATGTATACAGACATTTTATGATGAAAAAATGATTTTTAAAACATTCTGATAGAAAAATATGAAACTCTTTGATGAGATCTAATGAAAATATCAACAGAATCAACTTGAAGATGTTTATAAGTTTTTGCAAAACAGTACGTTTTTTATGAAAAAATAAATAATATTTCTTAATTTCTTGTAGAGAGTTTTTATCCATAAAAATAAAAGTCAAATATTATTGTCCTAGCAGTTCGTACATGTGGTATATAAATATTGTTAAGAATTAGTTCGATTTTCTATTCCTTTTCATTCATTACAAATAACTGTTTTGCTAATAACCGAAATATGAAATATACTGTGACCCAAAATGTTGTTCTATGCCGTTTAATTACTTTTTCTTACTGTTATTTATTTCACTTAGAGTGCAAGTAGATGCGTAGCAATACAATAACAACAGTATTCAAATTATAATAATTTAATTCAATATAAGACACAGAGTAATATCATATGTAAATTTTCTGTCAAACATTGTGAATTATATGTAATAGGGAATGTTTACAAACTAAGAACAATATCTGTGAATTTAAAAATGTTCTGCCTAAAAAACACTCAAGATGTATAGTTTTCCTATATCCTTAAAGTTCAAGTGCATACCATATAACAGCGATAGCAAATTGTTACCGATAACTGCTGTGCTTGTTTACGATATTATTTACCTATTCTAATTGCCAAGCAGTGATAAATCAAAGAGTAGGGCAACCACCGTTAGAACTATATTAACCCTGCTCGTATGCCATTGGTCAGCAAAGATAATGTAACGATGACGTAGGTACACTTCCGGTGATAACGTACAACACACTTCCGGGTTCCGATTTGCGGAATTGTAGCTCGTTCCTACTACTTTCCCTTCACCTATAGTTTGAGTTTAGTTTAGAAGGTTGTCATGGCTGAAATCAGGAAGGAGTTAGCGAGCGCTAAAAAAAAAATGATTCTTGCTTTTGCTTTTTTACCATTATGTTATTATAAAAAAGGGAACTTTTCAAGCAACTACAGTCTCTTGTCAATTTTCATCTGATTGGCATACATGCAGTACAGTAGGTCAATGGTCTCCCCACTTGTACCTCACTTTCTCGACCGTCCTTGGAGTTTCACATGCTAGCACGTCAAAGTCATGTGCCCCCAGAGGCTTAATTTTGTTATCTAGCTTATTAAGGCCCCTTGGAAGCCCATATAAGCAACCTCCTAATCCGTACCCGTATATATTCTCTCAAATCATTAAAGGAACTATACTGAAATTTAAATGCATGTATTCATTTACATTGAATTCTGTTAAATTTTATGCCTATTACTTTAGTATCTTCCAATCAGTTTGAATAAAATTTGTTATTCAATATATACCTTCTTGAGAGTGACAAGAATGTTTCTAAAATAATATATATAAAATTGAAATTGCTTTCATTGCATTTCATTTCGGTACAATTTTAAAAACAATTCTTTTCTAATTATTCTTTAATAGCATGAGAAGAAAGTGGAAGTATTTCATATTCATGTAAGATTCATAAAACATTATATAAGCTGTAGTAATTTTTTGTTAGGATGAGATGTAAACTGAAAGTTGGTTGAGGAAAACGGTGTTTAGAAAGGAGGCTAACCTGCGCAAATGCTGGTCCCCAAGCAGTGCCGTAGACGCCAGTGCGCAGGCCTATTTATCTCGTATCTTTAGTAGCAAGGAGTGTTTTACTCATTAGAAGAAGCGGAGTTGCTTGTGGACGCATCCGAGGATAACGCCGGTTTGTATATCTAAATTGTCGAAAGAAAATGGATTCCTTACCGCAGGAAGTGATTGAACACATCATATCATTTCTGCCGTACCATGATGTTAGTCGATGCAGATTAGTAAGTTTTTCATTTTGTACAATTATGATATCTAGAAATCATGTATAATCTGTCACAAGCATCTGACATGCCGCATTTTGTTATCAAATAAAAACTTTGCAACATGGTATTTCTAGTAATATGATGTAATTAGGTAAAAGTGGTAGGAAAAGCTTGTAAGGATCGTAAAGTTTTTGTCATCTCTGAACTTTCTTTTTTACGATTTTGCCAGGTCGGCACAGCTTTAGTATTAGTCCTTTTTGGCGATATTTAGGAGCGATAAATGAAAAATTATGATAACCGTGTTATTTATGGTAACTCTAAATACTGAGTTAAAACACATGCCGTCATTTCTGCCCACGTAACTTTAACGCATTAGGTAGGTATCCGAGCTTTGATTTCGCGAGGGATAAATTGCAAGTTTTTCTTAAAGATGATCACATGATTCTTGAAATTTCTTCAAATGTCAAATCTGCATATTATAAACTACACCCCCCCAAAAAAAAGGTTTTTAGTAACCAAGAGGTAAACTCTTGGTGTTTCCTTTGCTAATTAACCACATGCAAATTTAGACTACTTACATGTTTCTTAAAATGGACAATGATCAAAATTACCATGGTCTAAAAATACTTTTTTGACTCATTTCTTAAATTAGAACTATAGGGATGTGAAATTGCATGAATTAAAAGACCAAAATCAGGTTTCATTATTGCTTTTATAACATTTTTATAATTTGTCTGACTATAAAAAATATAATCTTGCTTAGATTATGGAATATATTGCTTATAATTTACAGTTCTCAAAATTTGTAAATTTCACAATCTAATAGCTGTATATGAATAACATACACTGAGTATCATTACTTTTATTAATAGTATGTTGACCAAACAATTGACTTTTTGTTATAAATTTTATGCAAATTTTCTACAATACTTAAATGTTTAATCTTGCAGAAATCTGAATTTTTGTAATAAAAACTCTATAATAAAAGTAAGAGTACAATTTATATATAAAAACATGGCAAGCATTTAAATACTGATTTCAATGTCTTTAAATGTAATTATTATAAAGCTTAAGTATATTCTTATAAAGTTAAGATATACTCTTATTCTGTTATAAAGTTTAGATGTATAGAACAGAAGGTACACTTTGTGTTTACGACTCAGTCAACCACTTGTGGCCAGATAACTATTAACCAGGGCTGTGGAGTCGGTAGGGAAAATGACCAACCTCCGACTTCTGGAATTTTAATGACTTCCTCATATATATATATATGTAAACATATACACATGGGTTACAGCTTAGTTTTTTAATATAAAAGAAGTAATAGATGCTACATAAAAAATTTGATGGCATAGAAAATTATTTATTTTAATTAGCAATTATTATGAAATGGAAAAATTGGCATCAGTTATTTCTAAGAAACAGTATAGTTTCGGCAAGATTTTCTTTGTTGGAGGACCATAGATCCGATTTAATAAACTTTAGAGCTGAGAAGAGTCTTTCCACACTAACTTGAGTAGGAGGAAGAGCAGTTATTGTTAGGGCTACTTTTAACTTTTCAGGATAGATTTTTATAAGTTCTAAAAGAGGTGTCTTGCAAGCACTATCATATTTCTCTGTTTCTTCAAAGGCCATGTAGAAATCTTGTTTGTATTTTTCCATTTTTATATCTAAGGGCTCTTGTTTTTTATTTTCATTCGCTTTGCCTTAGCCTTTTCAATATTATCCAAAAATATTTCTCAGAATCTAATTCATCAATGGAAAAGGATGATAAAAACTCAATTTCAATGTCTGCAGTTTGACTGTCCTGATTCGAATTCTCCAATTGTTCTGAGAATAATTTCATTCTTAATGAAAGTTCATAGATGACTTTCTTCGCTTTTTTAATTTGTTCATCATCCACGAAAATTCGGTGTTTCGGATCTCCATATATTGAACCCAGCAGGATCTCATTGTCTAGCAAACTAATTTCTCTTTTCTTCATTGAAGAAATGATTTCTTCTGAAATAAACCCTCCATTTCAGAAAGAACAAACATCCCATTCTCGCCTCCTGTCAATTCTTCAGATTGCAGCTTTTTTGTGGCTATATATGGTATAGAAAGAAGTTTCCAATTCTGCAAGATCATTCCATTGTCTTTCTGTTAGTGAAACATTAGGGTTATCTACATCTAAAAAAGTTCTTAATTCTAAAAACTCTTTATCATCGAATATGTACTTCCTTATCGCATTGCTTGATCAATAATTGCTCCTTTTCCTGCTCGCTTCCTAAGAATGGCATTTTAGAAGGCAATTTTAGGACCTATTGCTACGTACCTAAATTTATCAGTGAAATTTGTGAAGAATGAAGTAATTAAATGAATCAGTTTAATCACTAATGGCAAATATCACATCCATCCTCCTCCCTTATATTTATTTATTAATTGGTCAATAAAATAGAAAATAACTATTAATTAATGTATGCAGTCTATAAATAAAAATAATAACTCAGCTTGTCATTAATTTTTTTTTCAGTTCATTTTAATTTAATTTCAAATTCAAACTGTCCAATGAAAACTGGAGTCGGAGTCGACCTGTTTTTAGGGACTCCATCTCCGACTCCTTTTATCCCAAAATCTGCCTGACTCCGACTCCACAGCCCTGCTATTAATCAATTTAATGCTATACAAATCAATTTAATGTGAAGTTGGCTCAAAACTTAACTGATATGGAATTCAACCATCAGCAATTATACTTCAAGACTGAAGACGACAAATCTTATCTTATCTAGCAACCTAGTAACATGGCCTCGAAAGGCAAGCTAAAATCTTTAGTTGGATTCTCTTGAGAAAAACGGATGGGGAAAATGACAGTAAAAGATCCCAAACATATTATAACTCTGGTTATAAAATAACGGAACCTTACATTATATTTCGTTTCCTGATTAATTATTCACTACATGAAATAGTGTAATGCATCTTTGTTTGCATCATATACAAATTATTTATTTTATTTTAATGCTGTCTAAAACAACAGGATTTTGCAAACATATTGACCATATGTTTCAACCTATAGATACAACACTTCTTCACTTCAGAAATAAGATTTATTTTCTAAGAAATCAGTTAATTTCATGTATTAAGAAATATCACTCAATTGCTGTTGGAAAGACTGTTACAGAATGAAAAAAGTGAAGTGACTATAAATATTACCACAACTCTAAACCATTTGTATAAAAATGATGTGGGGCTATAGCAGTGTAAAGCATAGAAGCATAAAAATTAACATTGCTTTTCAAAATATTTCATTTAACTCATAATTAAAAGCATTCTTTATTAACTCGCGAGCGTGCACGCTCATATGAGTTACACGAGCTCGCACACTGGGTCCAAAAGACCCAGTTGTCTTGTTTTTTGAAGAACATGTTGTGAATATTCAGAAACAATGTGACATTTATGTCAATAATAAATTTTATGATAAAATTTAAAAAAAATATGCAAGTTAAAATTTTTAATTTCTCCAAATGCTTTATGAAACAAAATTTCTTAAGGGAATAGAAAATCTAATTATTTATTAGCACAGGGAAAAAATAGTACCGTATTGATATTCTTTACTCTTTGTCGATTCTTATTTTCTTTATTAGCACTATAGACACAGATGAAAATGCAACAACAAATGTGAGCAGCATATTAAAGAAAGTGTTTTCGTGTGTTCCAAATACAAATATTTTTCACATTCAGCGAAATGCGTTTTCGTTTTTTTGTACTTTTTTGCTGGACAAACAATGCATTTTCTATTTATTTATTTTTTTTGCTTCCGGTAATTTTTTCCCTCCAAAAATTTCCCCTCTTTCTCACATTCATTTTCAGAATTTATATCACTGTCTGAATCAGAATCATGTGAATTAAAAATTTATGATCACTTCCATCCTCATTTTTTCAGTACATTCTTCGCCAGTTGATACCTCTGATAACTTTTGCATTATTTCTTCGTTGTATAATAAATAACGTCACATTTTTGCCACTTTCTATACTATCACTAATCAACTATGAAATAGTAACATGAATAGGCGTGCATCAAAATCAGGATTCCGAATAAAGTCCCAACAAAAGAACTTTGGAGACATAGAGAGGTGGACCTAAAACATGACTACACTAGACCTCAACAACTTGCGCAAGATTCGCTTTGAGAAAGGTTTCTTTAATCGCACGGGTTCTTCAGACCCAGCACGCGCGCTCGCGGGTTAAAATAAGCTAATTTTTGCTGCCTGATAGTTACTGTAAGAGGGCAAACAAAATGTAGGGATCTGTATTTATGAATAGAAAATAAATATATATATGTAGGCTAGCAGAGGAAGGATGCCTTCATAAACGACTTTTTAAGAGAAACTGGCTCAGATTCACGTTACATGTAAGGAAACCACAAAAACTCCCATATAGCCAGCCTGAACTACCAGTGTTCAGTAGCTTATCACTCCACCACTAGTTGATTCCAATGACTGTTCGAATATTTTACAGAAGTCATCGGCTGTGACAATTGTTGTGTATTATTACCATTGGCACAAAATTTACTCATCGTGATAATTTAATTTTAGCTTCTAAATTATAATCATAAATTACTTGTAATAAATTGAGTGATTAAAAAATACACACTTCTTAATATTATTACCATTTACAAAATTTTGTTTATAAAAAGTATTTCTAATACTGATAAGATTTACTTGTTATTTATAATTTAATTTGATTTCCTTCAGTTGGAAATATTTTTTAATATAATATTTATTTTAATAACAGAGTCTAAGAAACTAAAGTAACATATACTAGTTTTAAATGCATTTATTAACCTTTTGTAAATTTCATTACTCATAACATAAAAATTAACCTTTTGTAAATTTAAAATATTATCTGAATACTAATATAATATAAATATTAACTAAGTACTTAAAATATTATTTAATATATTAATATAATTAATATTATTTTATAATTTAAAATATTGACCTTTTGTAAATTTCATTACTTATAACATAATCACTGCCATA